ATTTCGGCATTACACAAATTACACAGGATCTGGCAGTGAAATGAAAACCATTGTTTGTCAGGACAAAATTTAGTTGTCGTGACACAGTCTGTTAGGACCCCAGTGAGAATTAAAGTGGTTTACTGTATCATATTTGCTCTCCTGCAAGCCCACAAAAACCAAAATTTACATAGAAGGTATGCTGGATCATTAAAATATGACACTCACACTGGTCATTTACAGTGTGTATGCAACAATTAGAACAAATACGCCATCTATAGTAGTAGTTAAAACCTTGGGACTCCAATGTATGTCATCTTTAATGAGAATAATAATGTTTGTTTTTCTTTCAGGTATCGTCATGAATTTAAATCTCAAGAACTGTGGACTGAAATTAAAATGGTCCTTGACAATTTTGCAGCTCCACTAACTGAACTTTTTGTGGTGAGTTGTGCCGCCTTCTGCTTTGTCTCGGATAACTGATTATCAATTATGTGATATTTGGGTGATCTCAGCCTTTTCACCACCAGTTCCCCCTTTTCATCACAAATTCACAAAATAGTCCCATTTATAGTCTGCACTTTCCTTCAGAAGATTGGGGCAAAATAGCCCAAATTTTTGAGTAAAAACTGAAAATTGGCTCAAATTTTGTCTTTTGCCTCCAAAATTGGGGTTCATTTCCAGATATATTGAAAAATATAATAAAAAAAGTGCAGAATAATTTGGGAGAAAGTCACTTGGTGTTGAATACATCATTACTTCATAGATGGATGGCTCAGCCATTGACAATAAATGTGCTAAAACATCATAATGCGAGAAAGCGCCCTCAGTGTTCAAGCTAATGTGTTAACTAATGACTAACGTGAGAAAACACTCTCAGTGTTCGATGAATGTATTAACTAATGTCAACATCGTACACCTAACCAGCTAATTGGCTGACAATAGAATTTACTGACTTCCTGAAAGCAGCATTGCTTGTAACACAGCTGTAACTCTGTACATCGGCCATTACAAACTTCTTTGGTTAAGCAGCGCATATAATTAGCATTTATTATATGCTAGACCACTCATCTCATTCACGTGCAAGTGCAAGTCTTGACACAAAATTAAAATTGATCTAACAGACAATAGAAAATATATTAAATCAAACAAATTAAATGCCGTTTTATACAGTAGTTGTGTTTTATGCCGCACCCAAAGCTGATTCAGAAGATTTTTTCTATTGAAGACAGTAAATAACTTTGATTGGTATAACTCGCCAACATTGTAACTTTCCAATTTCATTTTTGACTACACAATCAAGTTTTGCTGACAATCATTCTTTAATGTGTTAATTAATGAGTTAATTAATGTGAGCAAACACTGTGTTTTATGTTTGCTGATATACCAATGTTTTATCATTGCAGGGTACCATGGACCTTTCTAAACAATATTCCAATGATGCTTCAGCTATCAAAATAATCTATAGTTCACTGACTCTCATCTCTAAACTCTTTTATAGTCTCAACTTTCAGGTGAGTAACCAATATGTCACAATTGTGTCATTGAATTGGATAACATTCTGTCCATACATAATGGCCAATTTTGATAATTTTAAACTTGGCTCTAAATTGAACTCTATTTATAAATATAAAGAAATTGTTAAAACATTGTGTGGGATTTCTATATCAACTTAATTTTCGTTCACTGGGGTTAAAAATGTTGTCACATGGATAACCAAATGTGAAAACCTTGAACACAGCTCGAGAAATCATACTATTACATACTCGGATGGAGTACCCTAAAAAACTACAAATGTCCCCCCTTTTTCTTGGGGTGATTTTTAGTAATTTATTAGCTTCTAATATTCTGACCGATAACATATTTGTGTGGTTCCCAAAATTCTGCCAATCTTAGATTTTTTTCTTGAACATATGATCAACACTAATTAAATTTAGGTGTTAATAAGAATGCACACTATTGAGAAATAGTGTTAAGAATAGTGGAAGAAACGAAACATCACTCGCAAACAATCATCTAGATAAGACATACACACATTTTTGAGGTTCCTTGCCAATTTTTGTTAACCATCTACCTCAATGACTGGTGTGGTTGTAATTTTAAGATTAATTACTGTGAAACGTTGCACAAATTGAGATGCAGAGATTGGGGGTCAATAAACTCTTGGGTTGAGTCAGATTCTGTTTATCTTTATACTTTAGGATTTGCCTGAATACTTTGAAGATAACATGAAAATATGGATGCCTAATTTCCATACACTGTTGGTTACGGACAACAAGCTGCTGCATACAACTGTAAGTTCAATTCAAAATATTTTGGTTTAGTTGTTAGCAGCGATTGCCGCTAATGTCAAGGAGTTGATGACATGCAGGGCTTGCATGTTGGAGAGGTTGTTATTCCAAAATAAAAAAAAATATTGAATTGCTGAGATAATGTGCAGTTTTGATGACCCATAGAGAAAATGATCGCTATAAATATTTGCAATCTTGGATGGACAGTTTTGTTATTCTCCAACCAGCAGACTCGATGCTGCCTGAAATAGTTTCAAACACTTGTTGCTGCTCATGTTTAAACTATACCCCTCCTTTCCTCATGGTAATAACTGAATTTTACTTACCTGGTGAGAAATTTGTTGAAAATAAGCGTCCATGATTGATATATCACATATGACAATTACCGTATAATCTCAGCAGTAATTATCACTGAACGTCACATTTCGGGAATTCTATTAAACGAGGTCATGTCATTAATTTTTCTGTATCCCAGCATTCAAAGGTCATATTAACATGCACATCAGATATCAAAGTTCATCATTTGTCAAAATTGAGGCACCGTGGATATTTTTATGTAAAGTTTCACAATATATTAACTCTTAGTTTGGTATCAGCAGACATGATCAAGTGAACACCGAGTTTTACATAAATTTGATTGTTCTGTGGGATTGAGACTACTGTAAAGTGCATTATTTTCACTTCGAATTTATTTTCGCTGAAGGGGATATATCAGTGAAAATAAAATCTACTGAAAATACTTATTTCTCAATATTTTCATTTCAACTCATTAATATTAAAACATTGAAAATAAAATTCATAAAAACAACCAACATGTTTTTTCAGAGAAAATTGTTTCCAGCTAAAATAAAAGTATTTTACGGCAATCACAAATGGGATTACATATGTTATGAATATAGTACTGATAGTTTCTTGCCAATCTTTCGGTGGATTTCTTATTATTATTCAGGATACGGAAGAAGCAGGACCATTGGACAAACTAAAATCCCAAATTTGTGATAATATAGCGTTGTACGCTCAGAAATATGATGAGGAATTTCAACCATACTTGCCGAACTTTGTGACCGCTGTGTGGAATCTACTTACCAGTACTGGACAAGAAGTCAAATATGATCTGGTAATTTACAATTTATTCTCAACTGTTTGAAAGTCACCTTTCACCAAAAACACTGGCTTGCATTTTTTTTTATATTACGACAGTCCAGTACAAAATCAAGAAAGAAATTATAGAAAAATACATAAAAATGGTGTCATCACCAGTGTGCCCTCTGACGGGGCCAATTTTGAATACTTACAAAAATCAAGTTGATTCAGCATGTTAGAGAGAGTGGTACCAAAAAAAAATTGTACATGACTGTAGGTGACGTGTGCAAATCAAAATGTAATGGTTGCTGATTTCCTTCGTTTTTTAGACCTATTTTGTTTTTAAAATATGAATTTTGTTTTAGCAAATTATATCCAGTGTACTATTTTCTGATTTTCTGCTATACCCAATGATACGTCAGTAAATTAGCATAATGAGTTGCATTCCAGCAAACCTATTCCTCATATTAACATAGATAGTGCGCTGGTCACCTGAGCTACATATGTGTATGTGCTGAGGGGCAACACATGTAGGTGGTGACTAGGATTTTACAGTTCTGCTAAATGCCTGGTTCACATTCACAAGCCAAGGTGTAAATACAAACAAATTACACCTCCAGTGTTCTCCCCAAAGCGTTTTAGCGTAGCGGGGCCGCTACTCCATTATTTATGCCGCTACTCTGAGAGATTGCCCGCTACTCTGTGGCATTTCCTGTTACTCTTTCTTTTAGCTTG